GAGGGATAATGTGTGTATCATTGCAAAACATAACATTAACATTTGCTATGTTTGGTTTCTCATCAGCAGTTTTAAGAATAAGACTCATGCATGTGGTGTCACAACTGCTTCTAAAACAGTGCACATTCATATAATAGAATGAACGAAAAAGGTTTCTAAAATTCTAAATTTCTAAAATTTACATTAGTCAATAAGTAACCCTTTTTCTTTCAAATTCACCTTATGCAAACAAAATTTAGGTCCGAAAGACTAGTGTCTAATGAAATTTTTTACTTAAAATTTAACTGATGTTTTTTCTTTGTTCCATTTCTGCTATCAGATATTTATTTCAGACATTGTACTCTCTGTAGGAACAAGAAATAGGAAAATTCTTAAGCCTCCAGCCAACAGCTCAGGCCATAGTATTAAAGGTATGAAGTTAAAACTTCAGACCAGAAAATACTGCTTTTTTTTTTTTTTTTTTTTTTTTTAAAGAAGTGCTCATCATTCAGCATCTCCTACAATCCTACAATGAAGTAATGGTCAGATTTTCAGGGAAGGGGAGCAGAGTGGAGAAACCTGTGTTTCATGCCTGAATTGAGATACTGAGTAAACTTAGAGTGTTAACCTGCCCTATGAAGTGCAAGTCTACTTTTTCTTTTTGAATAAATTAAATCTCTAATATTGTCTTAAGGTGAACACAATGAAAAGAAGCTTTTTTATTGTTCTGCTCAAATAGATATCCGGTAGTTGCAAGACAGAGTTCTAGACATGAAAAACTGTATGCGTGTCTCTCACCTAGGAGAAGAATCAATACCGTCAGGTCATCAGTGCACTTTTGTTACCCACTTCAAACTGCACACACAGTTAGTAGTTCCAGTTTAATATCCACTAAAAAATGAAGGACATAAAGCAACATCTCTCTGCAGCCTTTCCCCCAGTAATGCTGTATGAAATAACCGCAGACATGCTCCTTTGCAGACCTTATCGTTCCATGAGTCTTTTTCCATCAAGTTACAGAACTGAGACGTGAACCTGTGTTAGCTGAAGATGATAAGTTAAACAAATATCTTAAGTCTTAGAATAAAGATTTAATTCCTGAATGGAGTTTCCTGAGGATTGAAATTTTAGCTATGCTTTGCTGAGTATTTCATTTTCTAAAGCAGTGTCACTCTGACCTTTGCTTCTATGGGTCTAACAGCTGTACAGAAAAGAGAACTGTAATTTGCTACCTAGTGAAGGAACATTTAGGCTTTGTAACTAGTACTACCTGAATTTAATACATTATTTGCTTCTTATTTAGAGAGTGCAAAAAAAAGTGTGATGGTTGACTACTGTTATCTTCCGATTTCCTTGCTCAAAGTAGTTTTAAAAAAAAACTATAGAAGCCTGAGAAGGTGTCTCCAAAGATCTCGGGGGCATACAAATGCTGAGACATAGTACAAAATCATTAACTCACTGGTTGGTTTAAGCCCTATAAAGTCAAAGACTTGCAGACTCCAGTGTAATTCATTTAAATAAAGGTCTAGCTCCATAACTCCAGAAGCTGACACTCAATGCCAAGGCTAGTGGCACAACTACTGGCTGCCTCCAGAAAAAAAGCAAACAACTAGAATTGACAAAACTTAAGTACTATGGTTCCCTATTTGGGAATTGGACAATTCTCTGGAAACATATGCATACAGATTTCTGTATCTAGCTTTGGCAACTTCACCATTACTAACATTTTAAAAACTATTAACTCTTTGGTACTAAAAGTTGTAAACAATTACAAATTTTTCTGCTGATGCAAAGAAATAATCAGCATAAAAATTAGACAAGTTTAGCATGCAGAAGTTAATAGAAACTGCCTGAGTAATGCCTAAGTATCATTTACTGTGAATGGCAATGTCACCTCTTCTCCAAAGTCAAATCAGTCTAATCATTTAAAAAAAAAAAAAAAAGGCGGGGAGAATACATACAGAAATCAGATATATGCAGTAGGTCAATAACACATGACATTTATTGCTCATTATTCTCAGTACATTTTTATGCTTCCAGACAAATTGGAACTTGACTGTAGGGTACCACAGTCACAGCATAACTGCAACATGCTGTGTTGTCATTCTGTTTTAGTGTATTTAGTACATTAGTACATTGAACAACAGCTGAAACCTGATTTGTTGATTTCACATCAAACCACAAGAAACCACAGCTGAAAGAGGAGCAGTTATGATCTAATTAAATTGTGTACGTCTTTGTCAGAAACTAGAGTATAAGCACATGGCTGGAGTTCTAAGAGATTATATCAATTCCTGACCCAGCTCTTGAAATTACAACCATAATCCCAGAATTCAAACTGCACACCTTAATATTCAGCACCATTGAATTCCAATGTCAACATGGCTTGAATGGCAAATTACAGTTGTGACATAACTTCAGAAACTGATAAGCTCCTGCTAGTGACCGTATTCCAAGTGAAAGTAAAGCCAAGCTGAACCAGTTCTCCATTCTCACTGTATCCAAGAGGAGCAGTAAGCTCCAAACTTCACTTGAAAGCAGTGTTATCACCACTCATGAACTTCTGGTAATCAGATGAGCCAGCCCTTCCCCCATGTCAGTAGATATGCAAACTTACAGTTTGATTTAAACCTTTGCTGGAGCAGAGCTTATTGTAGGGCGAGTTCTGATGGGCACGTTCTGGAGCATGAGGAGGCAGGGACTACTGGTTACTACTCAGATGAAAACCGTTCAGGTTGTATGAACATTCTCCAACTCACTTACCCCCACCATAATCTAAGCTGTTTGACTGCAGGGATCAGCAGAGCAATTTTAAGACAAGATATCCTAGGCACAAAACAAATGCCTCTGAAGGTTCAACAACTGTTTGTCTCGCTTAAGAAACTCACTGAGTCCAGAGTCTAACTGCAGTGTCACTGAGTCAAAAACTAGAGCTGAGCACTTCAGATCAAAATTATGATGCAGGAAAGGTCTTGGGCAAGAAGTTGAGAGGCAAGGACTTATTGTTGGCAAAATAAACAAACAAACAAACAAAAAAACCCAGCAAGGTTCCTTCTCTTTTGCTTGGATCTTACAATGACGCTTACTCACGTGGGAAGAGGAAATTGGAATCAGATGACCCCTTCCTATTTTAAGGCTGCCAAGGTTTATCAAATAGAGCTAGAGAGTAGCACACAAAAATAAAAGGGGAGAATTCTTCAAATAAAATAGAGCTAACCTGTAGAATTTCTTGCTTCTGTATGTTATAGCAGATAGGAATTTGTATTGAATAGATTCAGAGATGAGAAACCTACTCTGGGTTGATGAAATGATCAATAGCATAACATTTGCATGTACAGCTTCAGACACAGACATTATGAAAGCAGAAAATGAAAAGATGCCAGGTCCCCAAGCTTAGATGATTTTGGATTGAACAATTTTGATAGCAAATGCAATAGATTACTTCTAAACTATCAAATCACAATGAGAGGGATGTATCTTTTGGTTGTATTTACTCAAACAACTACCAGGAGAGAAGCTCTATTTCCCACACTCTAGGACCTTATGCCATGCAGCACTTTGCAGTCTTATCTTAATATGAATACACAGTTGCAGTAGTAAAGCATAGCAATAGTTCGTAAAACACAGAGCACAGTAAAACCCCCTTGTCACAAAAGTCCTTATCAAAGACTACTACAATTCTATTTAGTAAATGTACCCATTATTTATTTCACCAAAATAGACATTTTATCTTGGTTTTGCTAAGTCATACAGAGATGCAAAGGGAAATACGGAAAGAGAAATACCATGCATAGAAATCAAGGCCTCTGCATGACTTATTCTTTGTATCATCCTATTGCCTGCTATTACTGTACACTGTTGATGTGACTTCTGTCCTCTTAAACTGTTTTGAGCACTGATAAAATTTATAGATATTGCTTCAGTATGCTGAAGCCTCTCTTGCTTCCCTAATTGCCAGGATCTGTTTTACACTTGTGCAAAGGCAACAAGATGAACTGCTGCTCAGTATGAATAATTTTGCAAAGAGTGGTGGCAGTTCACGTCTGGGCTGGAGAGAAGGAGATAACTATATGATGCAGAACCTAGCACAACTACATCTGCATATAAATAGACTTAATCAGAAATGCAAATTGCAATCAGAAGAAATTGTAAAAGCTTATGATAACTGAGCAGATAAGAAAAGGTCAGAGTCTTGTATAGCTGAATGTTTTAAACTGTTATCAGCCAGTGGCGATTCCTTTTTTATGAACCAAATGTTGAAAAGACAAATATACACCATTCTGTAATCAATGCCATACAAATTCTGGATATATTTCTCCTATTATTACAACTGTTCTGCTGTTAAGCCCTATTTTACACTGTCAGTCTCATCTTAACATGTTCAGGAAGCATCAATGAAATGAAAACAAAATGAAACCAGAAATAGTCAGCATGATGTTATACAGTTAATTCCACAGTTAAGTGGAAGTAATTTCTATTTCATTTCCACGTGTGAAGTTCTGGTTGACATATCTTAACATCCTCAAGTAAATGAAAAACTAAATGACAACTACTGTTTGCTGAAACTGTTTCATAACACTATCAAAACTGTGTATTTTTCTTCCACAGTAAAAATGGCCTAAGACTACAGGAATAACATTGGAAAATGTTATTTAACAGTTTCAAACATTGGCTTCTTCCTTTTTTGAAACAAAGGGTTTTTATAAATAGTAACTAAGAAAAAACACATTTCGGGGAGGTACCTAGATGTTACATGACTTTACATTCAAGATAAGAATAAAATAAATATATAACAGTGTATCATGTCAAGGAGAATTGTGGGGGTTTTTTTTGTTTTTGTTTTTTGTTTTTTTTTAAAGAAGCCAGGCTATAAAAAAAAGACAACACTACACCTTTTTGACGTGTTTTGCTATAATAAATTCTCACAATTTGAATCAAAAATGTTTACTTAATACTTCTTTCACATTTGACTAGTGCTTCAGAAAAAACTAGCAAGCAAAGAGAGCCATCTAGTGTCATACCTTGGAATTTTAAAAAGAGTTTTCACCGGATGCATGTCAAATAAAGGAGGGTCTCCATCTCCGAGTTCAATTGCTGTTATTCCCAAAGACCATACGTCACATCGAGCATCATATGAGTAGTCATACTGCTGTTCACAAGCAATGACCTATCAGAAAACAAAACAAAACAATGCATTAACATAATGCACAATTCAGGCCATCCGTAGTGTGACACAAAAAGTATTTTTTTGAGTCATGCCTAAAAACCTGATTAGCTTTCAAATTCATATCCTTGGATATAGAAATCATAACTCAGTTGGTAAATATCCCACAAATTTTATCAGTAAATGACAACTTCTCTTAATTGTTGCTTTAAAAAAAAAAATCTGTTATGTTTTTTTGTTTGTTTGTTTTTTAATTAAGCTCCATGGAGTGCTTCATATATCTATACAAAGAATGTTGCCTTATTAAATTCTGTCCTTGAACACACTCCCTACAACAACCATTGCAAAGGAAGGCACAGAATCCATTTGATGTTATTCTTATCAACTTCTATGACTATTCATGAGGAAAGACAGATTTGCACAGCTACTTTGTAGATAAGAATATTCTGCCTCTTTAAATAAATATATATTTTTAAAGTTTAGTTAATGTCTACTAGGTTCAAGTAATAGCAATTAAAAACAAAAATCTTAACATACCATGTACCCTAAGACAAGTTGAAGTTAACAGGAATCTTCCTTTGGACATCAGCAGAGTATTGAATCATAAACTTGATGTACACATCCAGTTAACCCATTGTTTGCATTCTAATCAAAAGCTATTAGATACAAGCTGGAAATGTGACATTCATTTGAACATGAGATTCAGAGTACTGTTTAAATTTAGATTTATCTTTGCAGCAGCAAAAATGTCAATTCATTGGCTTTTTATTGTGGCTCAAGTTTGTATTCTTAAATTTCAACAATTACACCAACTGCAGATCCCTGCACACTGCTAATATCTACTTCTGTGAACTTTTCTCCAAGTTCTAATTATTGTTACTAATTTGTACTTAACCAGAAACTTCTGATAGTATTTCCCAGGGTTGCTGTTCCTGTATGAGATTATTTATTTATTTCTTACTTCCAAATTATACTTTCCAAGTTTTACTTCCAAGCTCTGTGTTAAGGCTTCATTTTAGGGCACTGCTTTGCAGAAGTGCCAACCTGCAAGTCAGCATCCCAGGTAGCTGCTGGCAGGCAGCCTGATGTAAAGAAATCTTTCCTGCAGAGGATCCTGATTTCAGTTCAACCTCTCAAATACATTTTTTTTCTCCAGAATCTCACCTCACAGACATGATCCTTGTTCTATTCAACAGGCGCATATAATCTGTCCGACTCTTACTCTGGAATTCACAACCCCATCACATGCTTTATCAGAAAATAGAGGTGTTACACATATGATCTAGAATACTGCAGAAATGTATGATTTAAGAAGGCAGTTGGTCACTAGTTAATTCCCCCCCCCCCCTTTTTTCCCCCCCAACAGAACATCTAGAATGAAAACTCTAACATATTTCTTAGTTTTTTAAAGAATTCATTATAGCCTTGGTCTCATTCTAGAGATTCCTCATCTCTTGAAAAAGATGCAGTAGACAGATTCTATGCAACTCACACAGCTTTAAACGATCACTCTTATTTCAGAAGCCTGTAGGATAATTTCATTTCATTATACTGAATCTTAAAGAGAAGGAAAGAAATGAAATTTCTTGTAATGGCATGTAAGTCAGTATGAAGAACCACTGCCAGATGATGTGTTCTAAGGCCATACTTGGCATCAGCTGGTATTTCCCCCAGTGCAGTTTTCCTCAGAAGTTGAAAGGACACTTGTTTTGGAAACTATATAAAAAACCAAACATAATAAGGAAAAACATCTGTGTACTCATGCACATTTTTTCAATTAAAAACAAACAAATAAACATGCAAGTCAGCTTCCAAGGCCATGACTCAGAGGAAGCTGGAAGTGGCTTATCTGTAGCAGACTAATACAACTTGCTGTGGTCTTCTTCCTTCTTTATATCAGAAAAATATTTATCTGCTTGGTTGAATGTCTGCTTAAAGTCCACCTCCTAACAGTGACTATTGCAAAAATTGCCAGGATCTCACTGTTGTGCTGAGTCTTTTGCAAATATTTGGCTATTTGTTCTCCAACTTTATGAAGCAGAGGAATATATTTTCATTCTCAAGGGAAGAAGCTCAAGGTCACACTGCATCAGCAGCAAAACCAAAAGCACAGCTGAGGTTTCCCACGTTTAAGACACCATCACTTGTTACTCTATAAGCACATGTAAACAGCTTCTAACTACAGGCCAATGGCACAACTTGCTGGTGAAGGGATGGTATACCAGCACTGTTGGTTTAAAAAAAAAAAAAAAAGCTGTTGAGCTTCTCTCGGCTTTACAATGTGTTACCTACCCAGCAAAGAGAAAGGAATGAATAAAGCATCTCCAGATGCCCTGTGTTCCATCACTAACAACTACAAATTTGGTAAATACAGCATATGGAGTTAAAATACTTGCACTCTTATCCAGTGGAATTAAACACTGTCAGTTGGTCCTCCATTCCAACATCAGAGCCTGAAGTGATTCTTTTAGAAAAATATTCCCCTTAATCTGCATTCCTTTTGTTTCAAAAAATTCAACAATGGACTTTATTACCAAGTATATTTTAGTAGTGAGATCAGCTTCAGAAAAAAATCACAAAATGAGCTGCTTTTCTGACGCTGTGTATGTGACATATACATGACTGTAGTGACCACTTTAATTTGAAACAAGCTTTAAATTTCAGTGGAACTTATTATTAGAATCTTACCATCTTATGCACTACTAATAGAAGCACCTGTAATAGCACTAATTTTAATTTACAATGCAAGAGTCTGACTACAGCTTTTCCCTTGATGATCAGTATATATAGACAATTAGCTTTATACTTTGGCTAGCAGACAACTCTGCCTCAAAATTTAAAGAAATAACTCTTTCAGTCATAGTTTACAAGCTAAGTCCCTGGGAGTGCCCCAGTTCTGTCTTCCACTGAAAACCACAAGAACTCCCTGCAGAGCAAAAATCTCTGAAAGCCAGTTAAAAAAAAATTCCCATTGATTCGTCTTTTATTATGTTCCTGTCTCTACAGAGAAAAGTCAGAGATACTTATTTTTTGGAATATCTGCTCTTTTCAGCCAGAATTCTGGAGCTAAAACTGCCTCCCAGTTTCTAAAGCTCCACAGATCCCTGCTCTGCACAGTGGGACTTGAAGGCAGAGAGCCCAGAAGAAATTATCTGAAACTAAAGAACCTGCTACTTCTTTCTCAACCTTATGTAATGACATCATCACATCTGTACCTGTTTTGTATCCAGTAAAATCCCATCATACTGGTAAAAGTAAAAAAGAAAAGGCAGTTTGCATCCCCTGATGTTTTGGAAAGATGTAGTTAATCTTGAAATTTGGCAGTGAATGTCATAGGAACAAGCACCAAGTATTTCACTTCAGCATAGGCTGTTTACGCACACACAGTAAGCCCAGGTTGCTAAGGAGACAGACCTTTTGTACATTTTATACTAGTCATTTCATCACGGTTTCCCGCCCAGTTATACTGCATTAGGATGAAAAACACCTTATCGTCACACAGAAGAACAGACAACATGGTGGTACTCGTCAACACTATCTGTGTGGAGGGTCACAGTGGGACAGAGTGAGATGGGGGCAATTCACTGGTCTGGCAAAAACTACACATAAATCAGTCACACTAACTGGAAGGCATTTAGAGAAGCCAGGGACTAGGCATTCTGTGCAATTTATAACTTCTACAAAAACATAACACTTCACAGAAGAACACAAGATGATTCACTCCCTGACAACAAGATTTCATAGTCAAGGATATAATTCTACTCGTTTTGAAATCAATGCAAAGATTTCTCCGAACTCCAGCAAGCATGTAAGTAGATCATGGATATAAAAAAGGAAAACATAATACAGAGCACTAGCTGTTATTTGTACACTGGATGTACTGCCTATGATCAGAAAGTAAGATCATCGTATGTTTAGCAGAAGGAAAATACATCAAACCTTTCAAAGCTTACCTGGAATTATTAGAAGTAAACTTACTTCCATTTTGTCTCCTTACAGACAATGCATGCATGAAACACAGCTGCAAGCACACACAGTACAACAGACTGATAGTAACAAAACAGATCTGCTACCTGGAGACAATCATTACACAATTAGCACTGGTGATGACCCACCAACAGAAGTGAGTCTGTAGTTAGAATGTTGATGCTCCTGAAGAAAGGCAGTGCTGTACTCAGCTGCCGTAGCTAACTAAGCAGCTTATGAGGTGTGTGAGCACAATGCTGAAAGCAGAGCACAGCATATGAAAAACAAACGTGGAACAAAATTCTTACCCTTGCTGCAAGGAGAACAAAACTGCTAACTGTGCAAGTGGAAATAAATCAACTGAATTTCTGTGCTCCATCTGACAATATGTAATCCAACTTAATTTATTTAGGTGGTAAATTTAAAATTAAATATTGATAGAAATCTTATGCATCAAGATAAAGAAGTCAACACAAAAAAACACTGAGAATACTGAATTATCCAGAGCAAAGTTAATGCATATGTATTTAGGGTATGTATAACATTTATTTATTATACACATGCACATTCACACAAATAAAATAAGCAAATTCATGTCTGAAATTGGTTACATATTCCCCCATCTTTTTATTTTAATTTCTGTTTCTTATTTGTGATTATCATTCAAATATTTCTGTGGTGCATCAGAAAATGATTATATTGTTAAAAATGTTTCCTAAATAAGAATATTTTGAATCATTTGCATTACTAATCATTTCAATTAACATTGATTCATTGAAATTAATTTTATATCAAGCAGTCATTTGTAATTTAACAGCTATGAATCAAAAAATAAAGCATTTTTATTTTTACCTAAACCCAGTGAAATATACCTGAGACCATTAGACTGCCCTAACAGAAGACTACATTCATAGGAAAAAGGAGTACACCTCTTATTAGTCCAACAGATACAGCATGGAAAAAAAGATAATCTTTTGAGCACGCGTTTTGCTTTATATCATGGATTCATCATGGCTTCAACACTACTTATTAGTAGT